ACGAATTATTTACTTCTCTCAGTCTTGACAAAAAAAAAAAGAAAAAAAAACATCCTTTGATGATTTGATAGCGACAAAAGAAAAAAAGAAAAACGTCTTGCACGCAATATATTTTTTTCTCAAAAGGGAGGGGGTACAAAACAACAAAAAAAGTTACGTGTGGAAGGATGATGGAGGCCCCGTGATGAAAAAAAAGAGTGGGTGCGGAGAAGCCCGCAACGGTGAGAAGAAAGCGTGCAAATGAACTCGAACGGCGGTAAAAGAAAGGGTGAAGAGTGAGAGGGAATGATTGGAAGAAGAGGAAATGTGTTTCGTGTGCGTACCGTTGCTTTGTGTGGGGGACTGCCACAATATATATTTATATTTATATTTATATTTCAGTTGAGGCGAAGGAAAAAAAAAAAAAATAATTAAAATAACGACAATTACGGTGACGGAACGCGGATGTTTCATGAAATGGACGGTTCCCGCCTGCGAGTCTGAATCCCGCCCACTCACGTTGGCAGCGTGCACCCATCACTTCTTCTTGTTCTATCAGCCCGATGCGGAAACGGCAACCTTCCTGTCGGACTCGCCCCATTTTTTTTTTTTTTTCCTCTTCTTTGTTCTGCCCCCCTTACTGGGCTCTGCAAACACGTATATTTATATAAATAAATACATATATATATATACACATACATACACATTAAATACAAGGCACACATCAAGGCGTCCAAATACTCTTTGTGATACGTTCCACCGCTTTCCATTACTTTGAATATTTTTTTTGTTTTGCATTGCTGATGAAACGTGCTGGGCGCATGGGTGCTTCGCGGACCCATAATCCCATTTTATGGGGATGTGTGGGTTGGCTGCAGCGACGGAAAGAAAAACAATGGGGGTCAAAACCATCAACAACAAAATAGCGACCAAAGGGAAAGACATTAAGAGCGGGGAAAAAAAAAAACAAAAAACAATTTGAACTTCACAAACGAAGCTGAAATAAGAGTATTGGAGGGATTATTTCCATGAAATCTTTCATGCATGCTTCTCTCCTGTTTTCTTCATCGTCCCTTTATTTTTCTTTTTACTGTTTTCTAACTTTCGGTCCTTTTTGCTGCCTAAAATTGAACCGTATATCTATATATCTATATATCTATATATAGATAAGTTTTTGACCATATTATTGTTATTATTTCTTGATTATTTATTCCCCAATGTTTTTTTTTTTGTTTGTTTTTGTTTGCCTTCTTTGAATTTTTGTCGTCTTTGAATTTTGTCTTTTTTTCTGTGTGCGTTGTTGATGTGTTTTGTTTAAATGCCATCTTTTTTGATGTTTTTTCCTTCTTTTTTTTTGATTTATCGGGCTGCATTCACCCAATGAAGTCAAGAGCGGAAGAAAGGGTTTGCCCTGCCTTCCTCTCAATTATTCCCACACTCTGGAGACCCACCGATAATGATGCCGGAGGGTGGCTCTCATTTAGTTGGTTCTCCTGCCTCGCGGGTTGGTGGCGGAGACAATGTTCATGACGTTTCTTTGTCAGTCGGTCGTAAGAGGGATGTGCGGCGTGCACAGGGGCGAAGTCCTGACTATCGCGTCTTTGATGTCGTGGTACCGCTTTCTGCTGCTTCTGCTGCTGCCTCGAGAGGGACTCGGCTGAGTGGTGTTTCGCCGTCACGGGTGCAGGTATCCCGTGAGGATCCAGAGAACAATCCACCTGCCCCCTCTACTGCCACGGGACAGGCGCTGGAATTGACGATCCTCCCAAAGACTCCTGAGGACACCGACCTGTCCGCTGCTCTTGTCGGCACCCGCGATTTGCGAAACGGTTTGCTGGATCAGAAGCTGCAACACCTGCAACGTGAGACGAATGCGCTACGAGAAGAACTAAAAGAGACGTCCAGGCGTCTTGCTCATGTGACGGTGAAGCTGAACGAACAAAAGGTAGAGTTCAGTGGCTTGACTCATCGGTACGGTGCAACCGTCGAGAAGCTTACGGCCGCTGAATGTACCGTAAAGCGGTTGGAGGAGCACATCGTACAGGAGCGGGGCCAGCACGGGGTTCTGCGGGAGGAGCGCGACAAACTGAAGGTCTCCTTGAAGGATTTGGAATGGGAGGTGGAAAAATTGCGTCGAGAACTTCGGGAAGAGCGGGAGAGACCAGCGATGGACCCTCGACAGGTACAGCGCATGTTAGAGGATCGCACGCGTTACGTTCCCGCTGCCGAATTTCAGCGATATTGCGAAGAAATGCGTGACAAACAGCATGTTTTTGTAAGTCGTTTTGTGGCGTCCCTTGATACGCTTTTGGTGCAACATGAGGAAGACGAAACTTCGGTTTTTGTCGCTCGAAGTGCAGTTCTTTCCGCCGCGACGGACTTGGAGGCAAGGGTGGCGTCTGCAGAAACAACGCTTGGTGTACTGTGTGATCAGTTGGCTGTTTTTAACGAAGGAACGGAGCGCGACATGACGGAGATGATTACTGCACTTATTGTGGAGAATAAAGAACTGTGGCAGCATTTGTCGAAACTGAAGGGTGACCACGACGTGGCCATTGCGCAGCTGAAGGCGATTCGTCGCAAGGGTGAAAACGTTCCACATGATCAGTATGAGTACACCCAGAAACAGCTGGCACTAACTGCGGAAAAGCTGTCCACGGCTCAAAAAACTGTACAGGCGCAAATTGACTTGGCAAAAGAGCACGAGGGACAAATGAAGCTGCTGTTGAATACGAATGAATCGCTGCAGGATCAGGTGCGTCGTCTCACGGAGGAACTGGACCAAGTAAAGGAGGAGCTGGAGCGGAAAGGGAAATTGTTGGATGAGAATAAGGCGACAGCCAATGAGGTTTTGCTTCGGGCGGAAGAATTTCAGGAAAAAGCGGAAGATGAGCGGCGTCGTTTGAATAAGACGATAGAGCAGCTTAATGAAAATATTACTTCTAGAGAACAGGAATACGAGCAACACATTCGCAACCTCCGGGAGGAGCGAAATGCGGCGTGTCATGATCTTGAACGTGCGCGGCACGAATTGAATGACACCCAACAGCGTGCTGAATCGTTACAAAGAGAGCTTGATACTCGTACATGCTACTTTGAGAACTATAGACAACAGGCAGAAGATCACCAGCAGCAACTAAACCGCTCCTTGCAAGAAGAGATGACCGCCGCAAGGGAGCTATTAGAACAAGAGTTGAATGTGACACGACGGGAGTTGGAGGATCAGCGGGCTGCCGTGAGGGAGCTGGAACGGGAACGGGACGACGAGCAGGTAGAGCGTCGCGCCGCGCAGGCCGTTGCTGCAGGATTAGAGGCAGAACTGTCACAGCAGCGTCGGGAAAATGAGCAGCAGCAGCACCGTTTAGAGGACGTCACGACGCGTGTGCAAAGACTGGAGACTGAAGCGGATCAGCTGCGACAGACTCGTGATACTGCGGTGGAGGAGACACGTCAGCTTCAACGAGAAGTAGCACGACATCAAGGGCGCACCCAGGAATTGGAACAGCAGATGCAACAGGAGCGTGAGTCGCACACGCAACAGTCGACACAACTCCGACAGGAAATGCGAGAGGCTGAGGAGCGTCGTTCAACGATGCAGGATGATTTAAAGAAGCTACGTTTACGTCTTTTAGAATTGGAACGGGATAAACAGCAGCGTTTCTCGCGTGAGCGCACAGATGCTGAAAAAGAGAGTTTTGTGCGGGAAAATGCCCGACTTCATGAGCAGTACCAGGAAGTGCAACAGGAAAACGTGGCCCTGCGTGAAAGCCTGCAGCTACTGAAGGGGAAGTTGCTCAACCATGAGCAACTCTCCCAGCAGCTGGAAGATGTGCAGGAACGTCTGAAGCAACTTCCAATGCTTCGACAAGCTGCAGAAGATGCCAGATGTGATGCGATGCGTGCATCCCAGGAAACCGAGATGCTGCGCCAAGAAAGAGATGCAATGGCGGCCAAATTGGACTTTTTTCTGGAGGAGAGTAAGCAGGCTGCGAAAAAAGACGAAGAATGGACTCGTATTTTTCGCGATGCCGCCGAACAAACTCGTCGTCTCAGTGGCCAGGTCTCTGTGGTGAAAAAACAACAACAGTCACATCGTAGTCCATCGATTTTTGTTAGCGCCCATCCAAGCGGATACAGTGAACAATACAGCAACTATCAACGGGTTCTGGGAAATGGCGGTAGCAGCACGCAACGCAAACAGTCGCCGCCTTTGCGTTCCGCTGCAGATGCATCGCCACAGCCCCTCGCACCTCCTATCTCCCGGCCGTGGCACTGAGCTTGCACGAGTCCTGCTGCTGTTGTTGTCGCTTTTTTTGCTTCATCTTGTATCCACAATGGTTTGGCGGATTTTGACAGAACTTTCATTTGCTTGTATCATTGTGTGAAATGCATGGCGTCCGTGTCGTGCCGTTTTTACGGGGGGAAACAGAAGAAGGGGCAGAATTGGGAGGCGATACGCCAATCTACAGGGAACGGTTTTTAGTTTTGCATGTCTCTTTCAACTGGCGTGCTCGACCTTCGAGCGAATCATGGGCGGTGGGAGTAGAGGCATCACCTCCAAATGTGTTTTCCTCTTATGTTTTTTTACTCGTCGGTCTTGTTTTCGTTTCCGGCGTTTATTCTTTTTGGTTTAGATGTTTTTTTCTCTTTATTTTGTTTTTTGATGCTATTGACGCTAAGAAGGGCAGTTGTTGCGGCTACGCCGCTCTTTGCCCCAACCACTTGGCTGAATTTTTTGAAATTTCTCCCTGTCGTCTTTCTTTTTGATACTTTTTTCTTTTTTTTCTGTTGTTGCTGTTTTCTCGGCGCTTATTTTTTTTATTTTTGTTTTTATTTTTGTTTTTTTGTTGTTGTCGCTCTTGGACCGCACTCGTGTGTGCACAACGATGCCGCAATGCAATGAACGGGAAAAAGAGCAACCAGAACAAGCAAGCAAACAAACACACGAGATTTCTCACACAAGGGGGTAACTAGTTGACTGAATAATAGAGGGAGAAAAAAAAAAACAACAACTTATTATCATGTCTGTATTTGGTGTGGACTTCGGCAACCTTAATTCCACCGTCGCAATTACGCGCCATGGAGGTGTTGACATTGTGACCAATGAAGTGAGTAGGCGAGAAACGACTACTATTGTGTCTTTCCTGGATAATGAGCGTTTTATTGGTGAACAAGGTCTTGACCGCTACGTACGTAACGCACAAAACACGGTTTTTCTGCTTAAGCGCTTCATTGGCATGTACATGGATGACCCCTTTCTTGAAGCAGAGCGTCGATTCCTTACGTGTCAGATTGAAGGCGACAAGGATGGCCGACTTATGTTCGGTGTTAACTACTGCGGCAACATGAATTACTTTTACCCGGAGCAGGTTTTGGCTATGCTTCTTCAGAGACTCCGTCTATATGTGAATGCCGCCGCTGCTTCGGATTCAAAGCACTCTGTTGACGTTCGTGATTGCGTATTGACTGTCCCTTGTTACTATACATCAGAACAACGTCGTCTCATGCTGCAGGCATGCGAAATTGCAGGGCTGAATTGCTTGTCTCTCGTCAATGACACCACCGCAGCAGGCATTGACTACGGCATTTTCCGAGGCTCTTCACTGGCTGAGACGGAGGCGGAGGGACAGGTGGTTGGTATTCTTGACATTGGATACGGTACCACCATCTTTGCCGTCGCGAAGTTCTGGCGTGGTCACCTCAAAGTTCTTGGTCGTACGTTTGACCGCCACCTTGGAACCCGTGATCTTGACTACGAGCTTCTTAAATACATGGCGGCTGCGGTGAAGGAAAAGTACAATGTGGATGTTACCACCAACAAACGAGCGAATCTTCGTCTTCTGCAGGCCTGCGAGCGACTTAAGTATCTTCTTTCCGGAAATCAAATGGCGCCATTAAATGTGGAAAATATTATGGATATTGACATCAATATTCCCTCCTTCCAGCGGAGCACATTTGAGGAACTTGCAACACCATTGTTGGAACGTTTTAAAGAAATTATCCGGCGAGGCTTTGAAGAATCCGGCGTGCCGCCAGAAAAGTTCCACAGTATCGAGATGATTGGGGGAGGTTGTCGTATTCCGATGTTCAAGCGAGCGACAGAGGAGCTCTTGGGACGTCCACCAAGCTTTACACTTAACGCATCGGAAACAGCGGCACGTGGTGCAGCCATCACAGCAGCTATTTTTTCGCCAAAGTTCAAAGTACGTGAGTTTGTCGTGAGCGATTTTCCAACGTACCCGATTAAACTCGGCTACTACTTGGAGAACGCAATGAGCACAAGTGCTGTGCCATTTTTGCCAGATGTCAATAAAGTGGTGACGGTGCTCGGCGAGAAGGATCACTTTCCCAAATTGTTGGAGATTACCATCAAGAGTCCAGGTGGCTCTAAGATATATGCCTTCTACGATAATGAGCATCCGCTTGTAAAGATGCATCTGCCTTTGGGAAAATTCATCATCGGTGAGTGGGAGATTGGGAAGCCACCAAAGGGTTCGGCTGCTACGGAGGTGCGCGTGCGTGTGCGTCTGCATGCCAGCGGTCTTCTTCATGTCGACTCTGCGTTTTCTGTGGAGACGTATGAGGTGGAAGAACCTGCAACGGAAGAAAGTGAAAAGAAGGATACTGCCGCTTCGAACAAAAGCGCGGAGTCGAAGATTACCGACAATGAGGAGGAAACAAGCGAGAAAAAGACATCCGAAAAAAAAATGGTAAAGAAGCAGAAACAGCGGCGTGTGGAGCTTACAGTTACACCGAGCCTTGACGTGATTGGT